AAAGATTAATATATATAAAATTCACCCAGTCCTATGATTGATCATCAATTTTCTTATATCTTCGTGATATTACGTATAAAAATGTGGAAATATTTGATGAGTTCCAATACAATCAGATCGGGTTTCATGTGAATGCTAATTAAGTATGATAATGCACCACCTGCACAAAGTCGTACTTTGCGTGCAGTTGTATTTTCTAGAGCTTTTAAAAAAGTACTCTGAAGTTGTGGCAGGAAGGGACGCTGCTGCATACCTACCTTATCCATAAGAGAAGAAAGTGTTGTAAGAATAGAAATCTTGACAGTATCGAATATCTATCACCGAGAACACTATTAGTGGGCCCGTAACACTCACTACATGAGGTTTCAGAGCATTCCAAGAGTTTCAGCGGCCTGTTCCTCCAGTTCTGTACTACCAGACAGAATAGCTTCTCGAATAATTGGTAGCAGAGAAGAAAGACCCTTACTGCGTGCAAAGCCTGCTATGGAGAGATTGATACTTTCTAGTGGATTACTAATTGTAGTAAAAATACTGAATAACTCGGGAATTTATAAGTCATCAATTTTTAAAGATTTACAATGAATTAACTCGATTTTATTCTTTCTTATGTTTTATATATTTGTCCTCACTATTTACCTCTATAATGTACTTTCATGGTGGTTATGGAGATAAATAGTGGAGACATAAAGTATGAAAGCGAATTACAGCATCTGATTTCTTGCGAAATTAGATATCAATTGAAATCTATTAAATAGAAACTTGAAATAATCATTTGCACCGTCTCATTCACAGTACATTAAAAATTAGGAGATATGGCATAAATTGCAGATGTTAGCTAACTGCGTCGGTTAGTCACTTTTTAATTTATGTCGAAAACAGTTTGTTTTTCTCTGGGATTTGTCTAGGAGTTTGTGTTAAAGTTTTCTGAAATCTTCCGACGATGAATATATTAGCCATTGCTAGACTAATTTAGTGTTTTATTATTGTACTGAAGTATCACTTTTAGTTTCACTGACAACAAATTTTGCAGTGTTTACTGCAAAAGGAAATCTAAATAATTCTGAAACGAATTTTGTATAAAAATCCGTTCCTTTTTTTCTATTTCTTCTTTTTCTTTTTTTTTGCATAAAAATAAGTATCATGTTTAATTCTTAAATGGCAACAATACTAATACTTTCATTTTTTAAGTCTCGAAGTCATTACCATAATATTTCTTGGACTTGAAGAAAAAATTAGTGGGATTAATAATTGCGGCATATTTCCCAGATTATGTATCCGCAAATTGCATGACAGTAATATACAATGAAATGGATATTAGATGTAGTTTGAGAGAAGCAAAAATCAGAAGAAATTCATTGAAAGATTTACAAGTTCGATAACTTCGTTCAACAGATAGTTTATTGATTGAGGAAGAATACCGTTAAGGACATTGAAGAAAGAAATATTTATTAGTTTTGTTTAAAAATGATAATCAGAAAACGATCGAGAGATTCACCATTTCTTTAAGAATATATTTTTAAATTTGTCTATCATAAATAAACCTTGATGTGAATTGGCCGATCAGTTATCTTGCTTTCTGTTTAAAAACTGAACGATCAATATTGAAAGCAGAGCGCATTTTATGGGATATCCTAAAGCAACCGGTTAACCTTCTAGTGCAATCTGGGAAGTATATCAGATAATTAAATCAATAATGAATGGAAATGATTAAGTTACAAGAGAACAATTTGTCATCCGATTGTTGGGAAACTGATATACGTTACAGAAAGAGATGCACTGAAATATCGGTCCAGAATAAAATATGCCATTAATTAAAGGTGAAAAGTACAAATGTTGATTAGAAGAATTCTCAGTTATACTTCCTACTGACTCGTGTCGTCTTACGTTTTTCACTTTGCGGTGGTTGTACATTCGATTATTATAGCCTTATTAAATGTAAAAAGTTCGAAAAGGAGTTGTGAAAATGATCTTTGTGATATTTTCTCTCGCACTGCTCTTTCTGGTATATTTGGAATGATATCTTCCCTTTGATAATGTAAAGTACGTAAGAGTTGTCGAGACAGACAAATATGACTTATAGAACTGACATGATTTAACGAGATATGTATGCAAATTCGACGTTAAAAACAGAAAAAATGGGTTTCACGTCGATGTTTAGTTTAGGATGGGGAATAAGTCAAAGTTTACGTCGACTTATTACGTGAAGTGGAAAAATGCTTCAAGTACATCGGTATTTACCCTCATTTTCAAATATGGAAACAGTAAAAAAGACATGGTCAAGATGGACATCTAAACAAAGTAGTCACTCGCAAAGGAACTGAATCCAAACTATTGAAGAAATGAGTGCAGATATGTATGAGATCCGAAATGTCAAAAAACCTGATTTGTGCTGGTCTTCTTTTATGTATTATAAGTGTGAATTGCGTGTAGGCGTTATTTAGCACGCTACACATAACGTGAACTGTTAGAGTAAGTTATAAGTGCAATTGGAATTGCACATAAGATGAATAGACGTAAGTGCGTAATTCAATATCTTACGTGACAATTGATCAGAAGAGTACACGACTAAATGGAGTTCTCTATGGAGACTGACCCTATAGTACTATATGCGCTCCTCTTCTGACCTGTTAATGTGTCCGCATATTTTTTTGGATTTTTTGATGGCTTTCGAGAATGGTTTGTTTTCGTCCGCATATTTCATCATCTTTACGATAATTGCGGAGTATGTCATTCGGCTTCCCATTTTTTGTGTTGAATAAAGAATTCTTGAAGAGATTTTCCGATTTTCCTTTTATCTTGTTTTCTGGATTTCTTCACATATCACTTCATTTTAGTATACAACGGCCAAATTTATGCTTTCTTGAAAACGAAAAATTCCCCAGAATTGAGAAATTTTATCACGTGAAATCGCGATCGAACATGAAACTCATAAATGATATTTGTAAGGAGTATTCTGGTTGACTTTTCTTCTATTTAGTATATTTGTATGTAGTTTTCAAGTTTTTATTTAGTTTTTCTTTCCCTTTTTTCGAATTATTTGATTACACAAAAGATTGTTACTTATGGGAGAAATTTAAAAATTATTAATGAAATTTGCATATGCTTTAAACGATAGGCTTTGAAATCTGAGTAGACATAATGTTAAATGGTTTTCTTCTAATCTCATTTCTTCATATTCATGCAACAGATGTACAGTTAAATAATTTTGTTATCATTTAAATGTAACATTTAGTTTTGCTATTTCGATCCCCTCCGACGATTGGCCTTGAAATTTAAAATTTTCGAAATTCGGTTCATGGTACATACGGACATTAGAGGGATAAGTTATCAGTGCCTATTCATTCAAATGAAGCTTTGGTGTGCTTTGATGCTTCATAATAAAGTTAATATGAAATTGCACAAAATATGATAATATAAAGTAAATGAATGAACAAAAAAACCAATGTTTTCACTTCATCAGTTATTATCAGTAGTAGAATCAGTTATATAATGATGGATAAAATGAACTCGATTATATTAGCTGATTATCACTAAATATTAGAAGATGGACATTTAATGGGATAGTTTTAATCTGTAATTTACAAAGTTGTTATTATCACTATAACAGATATTTGTTATGTTTTCACGAAACGCTTCGTTACGTCTAAGTAAATGTCATTTCAATGTAGGTTCATTTTCTTCATATCAATTTTGCTTAATAGTTGACAGTTGACAATATTATCGTTTCTTATAAATTGGTAAATTTGATATGACATTTCCTTTAACTTTCCAAACTCAACCAAACTTCTTATCGTCGTTATGAACAATTCTAACTGAACGCACGTTGATATATTGTTGCGATACGATACATGGATTTGAAATGATTTATCTATTAACATGTTTTTAAAGTTGAGAGATTTTAAAGTGGTTGTAGTGAGTTCATCGAGGCGAACAAATGGAACCAATGCAAACCATAAACGTGGCTGTCCTATATCATTATCATTCGGTTGCTTACGTGATTTGTTTTCTTATTTCATTAGTATATTTCTTTTGTTAAGTAAATTTGTGGTTTTGTTAAGTAAAAAATTATTGGTCAATTCTTTTGTACATCAAATAATTTTTATGGATTTTTTGGGTTTTTCGGAGTTTCTTAATAATTTAAAAGGGCTTTTCATTAATTTCAGGATTGCCTTTGCCATCTCCGTTTGAGGAAGGATCAAAATGAAATGTAACAACATACAATGCCCATATCAAGATCAGCTGATGCATCTGGAATGTTTCCATGCATTAGGAGATAGTCTCGTTAAGATCATGAGTGACATAGGTGAAGTGATGATAATCAGTTGAGTTATCGTTCTTTGGAAAACTGCTATAGCTTTATCGAAGTTATTTGAGATTGTTGAAGTATTTATTCGGAATTTTCCAGGATCAGCTCACAGATGGACTGATGCACAAAGATGATCAAATTTATGGGATGATTTTTATCACCGATCAAACGAAAATGTTGCAGTCTTTGTGGTTCGCATGTCTCTATTTTCAAACTTAAAATTAACCTTCACAATCAGTTATTAAAATCTGAAAATTTATCGGCAAATTTTTAGTGAGATTGCAATATGCAAGTACTATATTAACAATGAATTGCAATTTTGTTACTTTCATTAAGTAGCGGAAATATTTGTGAAATTTGTTAGTCACTTGCTTAAGTGAATAGGATAAGAGAGAATAAATTTGAAAGCAAAAAATTACACTATATTATAATCTCTTTCATAATGTTAGAGATCATAATTAATAAATAACAGGTTTTATTGGAAGTGAAAAAGACAAAAAAAACATAATTAATGAGATCAAAAATGAACGGATACAAAAATGTTATCTTAAAATTGATAAGAAAAAAAAGCTTATTATGAATGTAAATACAGAAAGGTAAAAAAGTTACGGCAAATGTATTACCCGGAAGTTTCCAGATAAAATGAAAGCGAATTTCCGGCTTTCAGTATAGCTTTTTTTATTTATGAAATGAATCATCGTGGAAATGAAAAACGGTTAGAAATGTGGTTTGTATAATTTATTCTGCGAATAACACTAGCTGTTTTAATAACTGACTGCAGAAAAACGGACGATTCTTCCAGTGCTTTTGGATGTCGCCTATCCGTTCTTACCACAATACGATCCTCTTCACGGTTCCATTTCCGGGCCATTCGAGCAGGATTTATGGCTGCTGTTGGAACTTGTTCAGCAGCAGATGAATGTAAGTGACAAATGCTAAGGAATGGTACGGAATGTATCGAATTCCGGGTTAATTCTTCGATTGTTGTTGGTGATGAAAGTCCACTTCGTGTGGTAAGTTGATGATTGTCAATTTCGATAGCCATTAACTGGAATTATTTCCAAATTTAACAAGTCAGTTTTCATTTACGATCTCTTAAATTCAGATGAATCCCTGCTTTCACATTACGATATCAATAAAGCTTCTCTTTAACAAATAAACGAAATATCCCTTTCTTTTTTTTTCCTTTTTATTCTCTTACAGCTCTGTTGTTGACCTTTGGAATTATTTTACTTCTACGGTAACAAGGAGTAAATAAGTGATATAAAAAGGTCAAATAATTTTTAAATTGAATGGAGCAAAAGGCTTCGCTGTAATTATGGGCTAAATGCTGTCGTATAGAGTAGTATAAACTTAGATTAGTATATTGGAAATCTAAATATTTCAATTTCGATCGGAGGAAAAAAATTTCATACATGAAATATCATTACTTTTTTGTGATTGGTGTGCCGCAAATGGTACTGTCTTCGTTTAACCCAATTCATGATATATTCATCATCCGGATCCTGTCCATCGATACAGATATGTCGAAGTTGAGCAACTTTCTCAAATCTTGCAGTTGTTAGCTGTCTGCACTGCCGGAAAACCATTTCCGTTGAACGATGATGAGCTTTAATAGTATACTCATTACTGTTGAAGTAACGCTGAAAGTAAAATTAAATAAATTTTATTTTTCAGATATTCACTATAAAGTCTTGTATTTCTTTTAATTAGGAAAATTACTTTTCAGGATGACTAAGAAAAAAACAGAAAAAATATTTAGCAGAATTTTCAAATTTCTAAATACTTAAGTGATTGCATATTCCAGTAATTTCTGAAAATTTTACTCGAATTTTGTATTATAGAAATAATTAGCACTTAACCTCAACATAATCACAAATGCCTTCAGCGGTAATATTTCGACATTTTTCAAGTTTAATTTTGCGCATAGTAGTTGGCAAACAAAGAAAGATGGAATCACTGAGAGCAAGTTGTTGTTCGATGATTGGTACCGATATGTGAAAATCGATCGATTGGATCATTAAGACATATAATGTTTTCTGGTTGATTGTTTGAAATAGATCATCTTGGAATAATGATGGTCGAACACCGGCCAAATTCTGAAATGATTCACACACTTTTCTAAAATGTTGATTTCTTTTTCTTTTTCGTTTTGGAAAATTTTATTATTTCAATTTAAGCTGAACACATATGGCATCAACTACATGCTGGTGTGCGGTAATGTATAATTTAAGCTTTTTCCAGGCTTTAAGCGAATCATGAAAAATCCAACTACATATATTATTGAAGGTTTGGTAACCGATCAGTTATGTTGATCGGAATGAAGATTAATTTTAAAATGATCAATTAAATTTTAAATTCATTTAATTTCATAGTTTCGGTCAAATTTAAATTTAGTTGGAAATTTTTTCCAATTTTAATCTATATAATGTGTTTATCCAACATATCTTATTTTTATACTCAAAAAGTTCGTAATATTTTTGAAAATTTTGATTGAAAAGAATTAACTTACTATAAAAGATAAGACGATAAGATATTTGGAGCATAAATTCATCAAACGCATTAACGCGTCATGTTGTAGGTCAGCTACATAACAGTCGCACAACCGAAGTGTTTTGGGCTCTAAAGCCGAACAGCAGGACAGTAAGTCACAGAAGTAACGTAACGTATGTGAACAGAGAAAAATATTGGAGAATTGCAAGCCTAGAACACGGAATCGACGAAAGCAATACCTAAAGAAATATAATGTCTCGAAAAAATTACTTTTTTAAAACCATTCATCGAAATTAATTTGAAATTTTAAGAAAAATAATGGAAGATGAAGTTATCTAAAATAGATAATACACTGCTTACATTGATATCGCCTTGTAAAAACGCATTTTAGATAATTATACCATCGAAATTTTAAAGGATTTTCTTCTATTCTACCTTTAGAAGGCCTTTACATCAAATATTCACAAAACGAACAAAACCATCTTCAGACGGAAAATATTATTTGATGGCACGTGGGAAAAAGGTGTAATTGTTTCATATAATTAATTCTTATATACCTGAAATTATGATAACATCCACGTAAAACATCTGCGCGAGGGATTTCAGTTGAATTTTTCTTATTTGAGTGACTTTTCTTGAATGTTGCCAGTACAAATGTATCATTACTTGTATTATAAGTTATCGTCAAACACGTCACCAAACGATGATGGTAGCGTTTTGCTAGCAAAATGCCGCACGTCGTTATTAACTGAAATAATCTTCCAAACAAAATTTCAAGATTATTATCAGAAAACAAAAAAACCTGGGATAATTACCACGAATTAATAAAAATCAAAACACTTTGGAATCTATTCTTAATGGAATTTATAAAGCAACAAATTAAATGTCATTCTTCTCTATATGAAATTAATTTGCCCGAAATTCTACGTATCTCACAAGGATTATAATTTCAGATTCGGATCAAGATTCAATTTCTAAAAATTTTTGACCATTTTGCAAATTTTTGTTTGATGTTACTCTCTCTCTCCAGCTGTCGAAGAAATATTACCTGATCGAACCGAGTACACTGCAAGCGTAGATTTGCAAAATCAGTATCATCGCAGTATTGGAAAATTTTTACTAATAATTCATTTGGCATCTTTTCAATGGAACTAAGATTCTTATTCGCCGTTTTCGAACGATTTTTGCTCCAGGAAATTAGTTGAAGTATAATCTTCATCGGTAGTTCACAAGTGTCCCGAATTAATTTAGCAGAACGATTCATGGAGCCCGGATAATACTGATATCTTACAAGCATCTGAAAAAAACTTTTTTCTTCTCTTTTCTTTCATGTTTTAATTAAATATTTTATGAGAACATTTGAAATACGCCTTTTCTCTAACGATTACTATAAAAATTCAAATTCAAATTCATACAAACTTAGTAAGCCTTAGCCGATTAATAGAACAAATTGTACTATCATGATTGAAAAGAAATAATTATGCATGGAATAATTGTAGCAATCAATTTCTCAGTCATGATTTCTCTTTTTATAGATATTACATTTCTGCGCAATTTCCTTATCTTATTTCATTTTAAGTAATTTAGCAAAAACTGCAAACGCTTTGCTGAAAAATTTCTCAAAATTTATAGATACACAAACAAAAAAAGGCATTTTTTACATGTTTTCTTCATATTCATGAATAATAATTATAAGTGATAAATAATATCATTAAACCAATTGTCTAATTTTCAAAATTTTCATATTTTCCTTCAACAAATTGTCCTCTTCCAAAAAGTGAACTTTGAATAATTGATAGCAAACGCCTTTCACATTTAAATGGAAATCAATCTGCTATTTGTTTGCAAATAACCATCGTAGTTTTAATTATTCTTGTTGTTACTGCTAATAAATTAATTGTCATTAATTAGTGCATGCAATCAATAAAATGACAAAAGGGTAAGAAAAAGAATTTAAGCACACTATTTTCGATTCAAAGGATAAAGGCGCTTGCAAACTTCGAAAAACGTGAGTTTAATGAAGGATACACTAAAATAAGTGAAAGTTTAAATTTAATTGATAAATTTTAACACGGATTCATTTCATTTGTTTTTTTGTTGAAAAATTTTTGAATTGTTAAAATAGTATGACATATTAACGGAAAGAAAGAATTAAAGATGGCTCGAAGAATAGAAAACAGTTAGATGATGGCCGGAATTTTATTGCACTTGTAAATCAATCGACTTAAAGAATGAAATTCTAAATTCAAAAGCAAAATATTTGGATGACAAATCATCTGGAAAAATTCATTAGTAAAATATTTCATGTTGCAACTCTTTATTATTATTTCCATCGAATACAATAATGTCGAGACTATCAACCCGCAACGAAATATACAAAAACAAATATTTCGTGAAAAGTATTACGAAAAAATAAACACTTCAAAAGTAAAATTTTGAATATTGAAAACTAAATCTTTAAATGCAATTTTGAAAATTTTGCATCAAATATTCAAAAATTCTTTTGTCGGCATTATCAAAGAAATTCAATAAACAGAGCATTAAGAATAGAAGAGCAGCAGCAGTAATAGTAATACCATTAATACTACCACAAACAATACTACAATAAACTCATACGATAATACCCTTCCCTTTTCATCCTCCCCGTCCCCATCTTTCCCGAGTGGAGCCCAATCTTCCACATTCCTTCTCTTTTATTTGGTTTTACGAATATTTTTTTCAACAGCAAATGAAGGTAATATTTCACTCATTTTTTGTTAACTTTTAACCTAAACAATAGGAAGAAAATCAGAAATGAATATTCAGCAAGGAAAAACCATTAAGGGACGGAAAAGGCAGAGAGTTCCGGCACAAGGAAAAAGAAGGAAAGCAAAAGAAAGAATTAACTCCCTTCCTTCATTCCTACCTCAAAAAAAGTAACACATCGTTTGAGGCTCTTTTACACGGATCCCCAAAAGACTTTTTGCGACGATGTATCGATAAGCCATCATTCCTTTCCACTTCATTAAACTCTTCGAGCAACAGTGTTAACGTATTATACCGCTTATATATACATCTTTCTCTTTCTCTCTCGCTCTCTCTATCTCTCTCTCTTCCTGTCTGTCTCTATACGTCTGTGTATACTAAGAAAAAATTTTGCAATCATTTTTCTATTTTTTAAAACTTCTAGGATTATCATCAATATGAGGCTCTCGAAGTTTCAAAATTACTACAGTAAAAATGAAGGTAATCAATAGAGTAAGTGTATTTAAGAATAAAGCAATAATTTTCTAACCACTCAATTATACTGTATTGAAAAATATATCACAAAAATGGTAAAATTTAAATTCGTGAAAATCATTTTTAGTCAAATTTTAAATTTCATGCTTGAAAATTTCAAAATATATATTCATTTTTCAAACAAGAAATAATTACTGAAAGAGAAATGCGCATTAAATTAGAACGCATTTTCTGCAGTAATTTTCTCACATTATCGTACAAAACGTTCGAACGTAGGTTAAAATAAATGGTATGAATGATTGTTACGCGATGTTACGAATTTTTTAATATTACGTTAGCTGTGAAGAATTTTACAAAAGGCATTGTAAAATGTAAAATACAAATTTACGAAAGAAATGCCAGTTTTATTCTCTAAAATAATTTAATAATAACTAACTGGTTGGGAAAGATGATAAGTGGTGCACAAAAATCAAAGCACGGATAAAATTTAACTAATTTTCAATCTTATTTTTTTGTTAATTTGTTGAATTTGTTAAAAAAGGAAAACTTTTTAAACCTCAAAATAAAGTCTGGAAGATGCCGATGTACTCTTTTCCACTTCCTTTCTTTTCCTTTTTACGTTTTCATTAATTTTATCTAAAACGTAATCTCTACACTTTTTTAAAAATAGCATGAAATTATTGATATCTTTGCATGCCTTAAATCAATCAAAAATGGGGAATTTTGAATGACTGTACGAAATAAAAAAGTCAAATAATAAACGTTATTCATTGGTGATGACAGTTAAATACTAATTCAATTTGTCGAGAGTTTAATCATCGAACATAAAAGTACTGGACGACAAATCCGAGAATTTGGAAAAAATAAATTTGACAAGTTTTCCTGCGTTATTGAATCTTTGATTCATAAAACTTTAATAAAAATAGAGCCCCTCATTTTCATTTCAGAGTGTAATTGAATTGACATAAATTTCGCTGTTTCATTGGATGTATAAAAAATAAAAAAGAAAATATCTTTTAATTAATTGAACAAATTTGGACTGCTTTGAATAATTCAATTTGCTAAGAACAACATTAGAAACATCATTAGAAATAAAATTTTTCGAACAGATCAAAAATATTTTAAGTTTGCATTTAAGTTATCTGCTTCATTTTTAATTTCTAATATGGTGGAAAAAAGTGTGACCAAAAAAGGTTTGTAAAAGAAGTGAAGGCAAGAAATGGGAAGAAAAAAAAGAAATTGGTACATTTGTCGGAATGAAAGGCTTATCATCTTGTTAGTGATATGAATATCAATATATATGTTAATGATGGTGGCGGTGAGGAAAAAGATTGCTTCAGTATTTGCATGATTTATCGATATAAGAAGCTTCATCGACCTATAACAAATCCATTTCAAACATGTAAGGAAAAGCAGAGTGGAAGAAAGCATGAGAACAAAAGAGGAAAAATAAGATTGAGCAAAGGTTAAAATAATTGTCGTTATTTACAACATAAAGAAACAATTAGTACAACTTTGGTAAATTTACCCAAATAATGAATTGTACTGTTTTTGTCAGATTTAGCCGCTAATTATTTATTACTAATTGAAAGTAACAAAATAAGAAAGGAATATGATTTCTTTAAGATACAGATAAACCTATAAAATACTAATTACTTGTGTTATGTATATTTTACATATGTAAAATATAAATGATTTTAATCATTTTTTTAGTTTTTTAATTTGATAATTTTTCGATTTTAATTTCATTTCTTTGAATCAAATTGAGCAATAATGCAGTAATGCTTATTGCAGAAAAAAGAATTAATTAAATTTTTATCGAATTCTCAAAAAGAATATATTTACAGCTATTGGTAATGGCAGACTGAGGAATGATTTCATGGAAATTGCCCACTTTCTTTTTTTGATGAATTTCAAAAAAATTACCGAGAATTAAATTTGGATGGGTCGAATGTCGCCAGCAGCACAGCTGGTGGATATTAAAGCGAATGCTTTGCGCACCCATCTTTTCCCCGCTGTTTCTTCCATCTTTTCCGACTTCGTGCTTTAGTTGTTTGGTGAAAATCGAGATGGATTGTTAACAACTGATATTTCAATACAGCAGTGATAAATTCTTATTTTCTTGCATTTTCACAATATTCAAAATAAAATTAACAGAAGTTGTACATATCCGAGATGGTAGACAAGAGTTGACGGGAGAGAGTGGACAAGAGTAGGTGTAGACAAGGATGGACAGGACAACTGACCAGCAGCCTTTACAAACAAAATTTCCTTCCGTAATTGGTATTTTAGGAGAAATCTTTCTAATCTTTAAGCATGTAGTAGTACAGGGTGGTAGCACATG